TCAATGGTTATTGAATGATTCTTTCAATTTTTCTGTACTCATATAATGACACAAAAATACGCTGGGCACTAAGGGTAAATATACAAAATATATAGTAATCTACTCCTGATTTTCAAGAAACTTGTCATGACATTGAATAGATATACATAAATTATCTTTGTTTAAACTGCTATAACAAAATACCATAGACTTGGTCACTCATAAACAGAAATGATTTGTCACCGATTTGGAGGCTGGAAAGTCTAAGATAAAGGAACCAGCAAATTTTGTGTCTGGTGAAGGCCCCTTTCCTGGTTAAAAGATGGTATCTTCTTTTTTTTGAGCATGAAAATAAATCTTTATTTTCAGTTATTACCCACCAGTAAGAGAAAGTTAGGTTCACAGTTTTAGCTCTTGACAGAAAGTCAACTAGGAGGCAAATTTATATCCATCAGATACAACTAATGGACCAGCTTTTTAAGTTCAGGCTATCTTGAAAGCTTGCAACCTACCAGATATTGCTGTGTTATCTCTCACAACAGCAATGGGTGACACTGAGTAGAAGCTGTGAAGTGTTTTTAATAGCAGGTGTTTTCTATAGTATGTTGCTGGAAATCAAGATGTTTATAAACATGGTACATGTTCAGAAATGAGTTAGATACTTGAAAATCTCAACACAGTGATTCAGGAGTGCGTATGTTGCAGTCTCAAGAGGGGTCAACAGTTGACATGGTCTAAATTAATCCCTGGGTAGCAGGTATGTTTGTAAATATAAAATTATATTAGACATTAGTACCAGTGCAGAACATGTTCAGCATCATAAGATCCAAAACACCAGCACAAATTTATCCATCATTAAAAAGTTACCTCCTTCCTAAAATGTCAGAATAGTAGGTAACTGAGATTAAGAAATTTAATACAAATGAGTAACTCTTGTACAATTTCTCTTTTAGAAGTATAAGTGAGGTATCTTCTTACTATTTCCTCACATGAACAGGTTAAGCTAGTTCTCTGGAATCTCTTTTATAAGGGCATTAATCCCATTCATAATGGTCCAATGCACATGACCTACCATCACATTAGGTTTGAATAAATACATTTTGGGGGTATACAAACTTTCAGACCATAGCACTCATATACAAACATAGAAGCCTGTATACATATGTAGCACAAAATAACTATTAAAATGTTCTTGTACAGTATATAATTTGTTACATTAATAAAACAAAAATATTTAATTTTATAAGATAAATTATTTGGGGCTAAAACTGCCCCAAAATGTCTAAAAATAGGTAAGAACTTTTAGAGGAATCTGGAATCATTTGAATAATATTCAAGAAGACAACTTAAAAGGTGAAAAGTAGAAATAAAGTTGTAAGTACAGAAATCAGAAGACCTGTTTCAGGCTACATTTGTTCTTTAGCTCTATAAATAGTTATTAACGTCTTACGCTATTCCAGGTGAGGATATAGAAAATCTTTATGGGAGGTAATCAACCTGACTAAATTAGAAGCTCTTGTGAGATGTATAGAGAACAGGAGTTGATAAGGCAAAATTGAGGGCAATACTAGGATCTAAAGCTGCCGAAGTCTTGTTCTTCTTTCCCCCATCCCGGTATTTCTTTTTTGTTTTATATATAATATATTGTTTATGAAAGCCTCACATCTATGTCTTCACTACTCTTAATCCTTATATTTTATCTTTATATTCCATCATCTTTTTTCAGTAATTATTTCTCTTCTTCTTGTATTTCATTTATTCTTATTTATATCAAGTAAATGTGATGTGTGTCTTGTATGAAAAAGCACAATTGCTTTAATTCTAAACATTCCTATAAGTCCTGTCTTCACAACTTCTTATTTTCAGTGTTGGCAGAGTTCCTCTCCAATGTGGAGGATAATTTAGCTTTTGGGTGTCCAGTTGTGAATAGTTGAGAGGGTCATTTCAGTTTTGCTTTTAAAATATTTCTCTCAGGTAGAAAATTACTAGCTCCTGCAACTACAGATTAGACATCCTAAGAAATTTTTACTTTTGGCCTGGGACTACGACTTGTACTAGTTACAGTGATATTACTGAGTGGTGCTGTTAGCAGTATTGGAAAATTGTTTACTCAATTGGAAGTGATGAAGAAGGTCAAAATTAAACACATTTTAATGCTTTCAGGCACACTATTACATACTGTTTTGCAGTTTTTGAAATAGGGATCTTTTATGTTAACAGGTAAACTGATTGAGCCACTACAGAAAGAGTTCTACAATCTACAGTTTAACAACGTCTTTTAACTTCCACTTCACCACTCACTGATGTTAAACTCCTGCTGGCCTCCATTAGCAGCAAAACACAAAGGTTCAAAGGAGATAAGAAGAAGCTCTCTGTATAAGATGATCTACAGATATATGGATATATGTACAAAAAGAATGTCAACATTGACATTTTTGCCATTTTAATGTTTATTTTTTTCTTCAATCAATAAAGATGTTTTTAAGACACATTTCCATGATAATACCACAGTATTTCCTTTGAAATAAATCACTTGCTTTGACATTTTGATTAATTTTGGGGTTTATGAATATGTCTAAATATTTGTTATTTAATTTTTCTTGTGCCTGGCTTGACTAATAAATAAAATTATGAATTTTGAGAAATAAATTCCTCTCCCTTCTGCTCTGCTTTCCTCCAAGATAATGCTTGTGCTTGACAATTTTCACCATGTGTATCAGCCTATCTCTTCATCTGTGCCATTGTTAACACTTCCTCTCACTTTCCCCTGAATCACATTTAACATCTGCCCTTTGATGATCAGATGTGTCTATGAGCCTCTCATGGGTGCCTGCTTCACTGGCCTCCCTGGCACTGAGCTCACATTGCAACTGGCATTAATATTGATGATATCAGTGCTTCCAACCTCTGTCTCCCATCACAGCAGTCTGTCCTCATTTCCATCTCCTTTCCTTGTAGCAATGATTGCCACCATGACTATTCATCAGCCCTCTTTGGTCATTAAGCTGCAAATGTGCACCCATGGCACCTGCAGTGAAGTCGGTGTCTATTACCTAATGGCTTCGCAGAAGCCAGGATTCAATCACTTAGTTCGTGAACATCTTACCTACTATTAGTAATTTCAGCTTTTGTGTGGAATTAACTATAGTTGTAGACAAAACATTCCAAATATTTGAATTAGAAGAAGGGGCGTATTGCAAAATTATTACAACCATTGTCTCTGAAGATAGACATGTTTTCATTCCAGGATCTGCTATGAAGCCTTGGAAACTCAGACACCACTATATAACTCAGTTTCTTCATGATTATAAGAGGAATAAGTGTCCCTACCTCACAGGTAAATTAAATTAAACAGACCAAGTCTACCGAATTAAATGGGGGTCACACAGCTGCTTGGTAATGGGTTTTGGCCAAAATGATATTCATCCTTGGACTGAGAAGAATATATCTTTATAAATACATGCACTACTGATCTGTATTTTCCACATTTTATCTACTACACACTCATTCTCTGTAAGCTATTCAATATATTAAATTTATTAAGCATAGTTGGAAAGTCTAATTACTTTTGATAGAAAATTCTACCCCTACTGACATTTCATATTTGTTGAAATTCAGGCCCTTGTCATTTATTGCAATAATTGATATAACAACTGTCATACCACCATGCCCTGCATCTACTCTTGATATTGTTACCAGAGTAAGCTACAAATCAGAACACATCAGTGTCCCCTATTAAAGCCTGTCTTTGTTAACTCCCAGTAGCTTTTCAGATAAATCCAATCTCTTTAATATGGTACATGATGTGTAACATCAGGTGTTCCTCATCAATTTTCTCTCCTTCACATCCACATTCAACCCAGGCAAAAGTATCTGAAGTTGGCAAAATCTCCCAGGTTCTCTCTAAGCCCTGAGCTTTTGTAGTCATGGTTCTCTGTAACATCATAGGACTAACTGTTACTCAAGCAGTGTAGATATTATCCACCCTGGGAAATTTTATCTGACCTATCCACAACCATTACAAATACCCCTCAAAACACTCTTACCCATAACACTTCCTACATTGTATGTATCGTCTGAATCATGTAAAGACTTCCAATGAGGTCTATGATGATGAAGTATTTCTTTTATAGTTCCAGAAACTACTGTAAGATAGCATTTAAAACAATCTGTTGATATGTTAAATAATGAAACATAGCTTTGTACAAAGCTATTTTATAAAATTGTTTTTTTTTATTTTATTTTATAAAATTGTTTTTTAAAATATCTTTGTTTAGTTAATTTATAGTGCAGTATAGGCCTTAAGCCTATGGAAAATCAACTGATATGAAAAAAAATGCTTTCTCTTTTTTATTGACTTTTTAAAGAGAGTATATGATTTATCCATGGTAAAGTCTGAAAACTCCTTCAAGTTGCTGATTTTGCTATTTTATTAAGACTTTTTAGTTTTTACCTTATGAGCAAGTTTCGCAATTATGTCTCACTCATAAAACTAATATTGATGTCTGAAAAATTAAGATATTAGGATTGTAGTTCCCCAGAGAGAAACAACAGAAATAGCATTACTCAAATAACAATAGAGGGCATAAATTTCAATGTATTCTGCCTGAAGCAGGTGTTGAAATATATGCTTCTTCCAGCCAAGAAACTGTTTTTATCTATTGCTGGAATGTGTTTTATGCTAGTAACAATTTATATCACATTGTTTTGGGAAAGTCATTAAGAGAAAAAAAGGCAGCAAGAAATAATGTGTCATAACAATCTACAATAACTTTTTATGTGTCAATAAAGGTAAACTTCAATGCTCACCAGTGTGAATTCATGAAAATTATCTTCAAGTGTGTTTGGTTTTTCTCATGCATTGTAATGCTTATAATTTCAAATTAGACACTGTCTTGTTTTGAATGACTTGACTACCAACTTTCTGTCTTATTTGTCCTCTTATAATAGACAAAACTGATAAATACATATCATATGAATCAAGATGCCACTGTATCAATTACTTTTAGGTTAATCATTACCTTGCTTGGTGTAGTGGCTCATGCCTGTAATCCCAGGACTTTGTGAGGCCCAGGTGAGTAGACTGCTTGAATCCAGGGGTTTGAGACCAGCCTGGGCAACACAAAAAAATTGTCTAGGTGTGGCACATACTTGTAGTCCCAGCTACTTTAGAGGCTGAGGTGGGAGAATCATCTGAGCTCTGAGAGGTTGAGACTGCAGGGAACAGTGATCGCACCACTGTATTTCATCCCGGATGACAGTAAGACCCTAAAACAAGAAGAAGAACAACAAAGTTCAATCATTACCTATTTAGAGAGGGGCTGTGCTCTACTTTAAATTTAAAGCTCTTTTTAGCAAGTTATATTGGAACAGAGAAAGCAGGAACAGTGAGTTTTGGTTAATGCTTCCAATAACCAATTATAAAGCAACTCTCAGATATAATGTTTCTTCTTTGGAGTAACCACTGTTTTATGTAGATGTTCCAAATTCCCTTCCTAATACATCATGTGTCTAAGGGGGGGTTTAAATTATAGTCTTCTTTTAAAAATTATTTAAATTGAGAAATGAAAGTTGTATATATTTGTAGCATACAATATGATGTTTTGAAATATATGTACATAGTGGAATGACTAAATCATGCTAATTAACATATGTTACCTACATACCATACTTTTTGTAATGAGAAAAAAATCTGTTCTCTTATCATTTTGAAAACATACAATGCATAATTATTTACTATAGTCACTATGTTGTACAACACATTTTTGAACTCATTCCTCTTGTCTATATAAAATTTTGTAACCTTTGACCAACATTTCTGGAGTCTTCCCCTCCACTTCCTGCTGCTAATAACTAACACTCTATTCTCTCCTTCTATGAATGTGATTATTTTGGTTTCCACATATAAGAGAAATTATAAATTGTTTTTCTTTCTGTGCCTGTGTTATTTGGTTTAACAGAATGTCCACCAGGTTTTTCCATGTTGTCACAAATGACGGGATATCTTTTTTAAGTCTGAGTTGTATTCAGTTGTGTATATGTGTATACATACATATGTATCCAGAAACATATGTATCCATATCCAGATACATATGTATGTATGGTTATATATATCACATTTTCCTTATTCATAATCTGTTGATGGACACTTTATTTGATTTTAATGATACTCTATAATTGTATTACTTGGGACATATTTATCCCAGGTGACAAGAGCTCTTTTGAGCTCTTTAAAACAGAAAAAAAATGATAGTATAAAGAATTCATTCTCCTTAGTTCCAAAGATCTATATTGCTCTAAGGGTCTCAAGAATAACCCTCTGTCTCTGCATTTTGGTATTTCCGATGTTACCATCTTTAATTTGAAAAGAACAGTAAAAACATGTAGATTAAGCAACAGCCTTGGTAATAGCTTATAGTTAGTGATCACTTATAATGTCTAGTTTAATATACCAAGTAACATAATTACCTTTATGTGCTTGGAAGCATTATGTACTTAACTGTTACCCTAATTTTATATCTGAGGAAACAAAAGATTAGCTTAGTAACATTTGTAGGCAATAGTTAATTTAATTTACAATGTAAAAACTCTTACCAACACTTTACAAGTTAACATTTCCATGCTTTATGACACAAGAGAGATCAATGCTGACATCTTTGATTTCCAATTTAAATTTCTGAAGGAGGTACATCAATGTGTTGGATTTTGGTCAAGAACCATCTCTGGCGGGCACGGTGGCTCAAGCCTGTAATCCCAGCACTTTGGGAGGCGAAGGCGGGTGGATCACGTGGTCAAGATATCGAGACCATCCTGGTCAACATGGTGAAACCCCGTCTCTACTCAAAATACAAAAAATTAGCTGGGCATGGTGGTGTGCGCTTGTAATCCCAGCTACTCAGGAGGCTGAGGCAGGAGAATTGCCTGAACCCAGGAGGCGGAGGTTGCGGTGAGCCGAGATCGCGCCATTGCACTCCAGCCTGGGTAACAAGAGCGAAACTCCGTCTCAAAAAACAAACAAAAAAAAGAATCATCTCTGCGCCCAGCAACTGGTATCTTATTACCCTGTCTCTGTAATGTCTCTTTCTGGCGATCCAGAAATAATTTTTAAAAATTTTACATCCTAGATAACTTGAGACTCTGTAAATTGTCTACATTTTTGGCAACTTATACCCAATTTGAAAGATATTTTATTCTATCTATTTATAATTTATTCATTCTCCCTTCAGCTTCTCTTAAAGCAGTAAATTTTACATTGAATTCTTAATTTTAATCACTATAATTTTTATTTCTAAAAGTTTTTCTTTTAAAATCAATAGTTGTAAAAGTACTTCTTTTTCTTATTGGCCATTTTGTGCAGCGTTTTGTTTTTTCTAATTTTTGATTACATTTTAAAAACATATTGAACATTCTTATTTTTGTAATCTCTATTTGATCCTTCCAACATATCAAGTGGTAGAGATATAATTGTTCATTACTAATTCCTCTCTGTAGTGACTTGTTTTCTGTGATGTAGTATTAGTTAGTTTCAAACTCAGGATCTATGGAAATTTATCTTTAAATATTCCACTCCTTTGACCCTTGCATGTTTCCTACAGAAAGATTATAAGCTTGGACTATACCACGTTCCTTGGAGACATTGCCAATCCTAAATCAACTTTAAATTCATCTTGGTTAGTTGAGCTATACAAGCAATATAAATTCTGCCTTCAAAACCCTTACAATAAGTAGTTTAGAGCAGGAATTCTCAAGAAAGCCACACTACTCTCTGACACAGAACAAAATTATAAGCATTTTCTACAGGCTTCCTGGCAAGGAGGGGCATGAGGATGTCACACCATTTAAAGATAAGGCTTTATCTTTAAACAGGCATGCCTGTCCAAACTTCCTGCCTTAAAAGAGGGCTGAGCTTTGTCTCTCTTTCTGTGTAGACTGTTCATGAAATCTAAAACATTGACCACCAGGAACTGACAGTGCCTCTCTGGACAACCACTCACATTAATGTCCATTGATCACCCTGGTTTCATAGTATCTAGTCAATTTAGTGTCTGAGCTTTCTCTTACTTTCTTCCCAGTTCAGTTATGCTCATCATTTTATGTATTTTGTATAAGGTACAGGAGTACTGTTAAAAATCTTCTACATTACCATTTTATAATAAACATGGAAAATGTTTTTGCCACTTTGTCCAGTCATTCATACAAGTCAGAGAACTGAACAACAGATAAAGTGCAAGGATGCTCATCACAGTCTTATTATTATTATTATTATTATTTTGACACAGAGTTTCGCTCTTGTTACCCAGGCTGGAGTGCAATGGCGCGATCTCGGCTAACTGCAACCTCCGCCTCCTGGGTTCAGGCAATTCTCCTGCCTCAGCCTCCTAGTAGCTGGGATTACAGACACACGCCACCATGCCCAGCTAATTTTTTGTATTTTTAGTAGAGGCGGGGTTTCACCATGTTGACCAGGATGGTCTCGATATCTTGACCTTGTGATCCACCCGACTCGGCCTCCCAAAGTGCTGGGATTACAGGCTTAAGCCACTGCACCTGGCTCACAGTCTTATTTATGAGTCAAACATGCGGGGGAAAAAATAGAAGCAATATAGGTAAGAAATGGTGGCTTAGACAAATAATAGAACTTCAATCGCCTTTTTAAAGTAATGTTTACTAAGAATATTTACATCATCATATTATAAAAAGTAAACATCATATAATAAAAAGAAAAAAAAGTAACAAATTTATGTATTTTTACCCTAATGTAGAGCACACACACAAACACATACACACACAGGAAACACATTAAGTTGTCAATAGAAATTTTGTTTGGATGATAAGAATATCATTGTTTAATTATATCTGCAACTCTTTCAATATGCGTGAAATTATAAACATTAGTTAACGTCTCTCAGGCTCAAATTTTCTAGCAATCTCATGATAATTATGCTAACATTGAAAATCTTTCTGAGTATAAATTGAGGTCACATATACATTACTTTAGTAACTAAAGTTGAGTAAAATTATATGAATCATTTTATATATTCCTGTATTTTAAAACTTCTTATAAAGAATTTAAAGATATTGATTATATTCATAATAATAAACAGTAATATTAATATTAAGAGGAAAACAAAACAAATCCTTTTATAATACTAAAATATACTGAAAATATCACATTAATTTTTGTCATCAAAAAGCTTTTCAATGTCAGTCGTATTACTTGGGTCAATGTAAAGGAACCTATCTGAATATAATCTTAAAAAAAATCATGTTAGTATGATACAAGGACATATCAGTTTTAGACCATTTTGAATGCAGACTCTACCCTGCGTTTTGAATGCTACTTGCATCTGAAAGTGTGTTGCGCTTGTAATCTCTAGAAACGAATCACAGAGGAAACAGCTGAACAGCAAATTGCTATGGATTATTTTTGATTTGTACGGGCTTAAATAACAGAGGTCATCAGTTTCTTTTGTTTCTTCAATTACTATCCATCTTATTTTTATCAGCTATGTTAAAGCTTCATTGACAATTTCGCTTTAATATAGATAATATATATTAAAAATAATATAAGGGTCCAACTAATTGGCTTTCAACGCACTCTTTTTATGAGATAATATTGCTGATGCCCTGCTTTCTTTTCACCCTTTTTATGTAACACATGATGCCAGTCTATTTTTCACTTTGATTTTTACTTCTGAAAAGATCAGCAGAATGTTGTCAGTTAGAACTTAGCCTTTTATACTGATTCTCCTCAAAACAGCAACACAAATATTGCCAAAGTACCCTAAAGGGTACAATTCAGCTTACATCCTTATGCAATAAAATATAGACATTTGGCTGTTTCTAAAACCCAACACTATGTATGCCATACTTTTAACTTTGTCCAACAACTACACTGTAACTGAAAATGGGCACTCTTATAACAAAAAAAGAAATCAAGTTTCCTGACCGGAATCCTGAACTCTAGAAATAACCCAAAGAAATCATCAGATAGAGAAAATAACACCTGTATTATTGAAAAGCTAGTTGGAGATACAGCATATTTGAGAGAAAATATAAGTTTCCAAATTTTCCCCAATTTATTCTTCTTTATGGCCTTTTAAAAGTACATTTATGGAAGAGTTTGAATTTATAGAGCAGACACAATTCATACTCACTGAAGTTGTTGCCTCTCTTGAGAGAGAAGAAAAAAAGTCATACTCCATTAACCCGGCTCAGGACCCTTACTAGATCAATTCAACCAGTCCAGAAATGTGGATTAGAGGCTG